TGCATGCATGCATGCATGCATGCATACATACATACATACATACATACATACATACATACATACATACATACATACATACATACATACATACATACATACATACATACATACATAATGCATGCATGCATGCATGCATGCATACATACATACATACATACATACATACATACATACATACATACATACATACATACATACATACATACATACATACATACATACATACATACATACATACATACATACATACATACATACATACATACATACATACATACATATGTATTACATACATAATACATACATACATACATACATACATACATACATACATACATACATACATACATACATACATACATACATACATACATACATACATACATACATACATACATACATATATATATATATATATACATATATACATATATACAGATATATTTATATATATATATTCATATATATATAGATATATATATATATATATATATAGTTTTCTTGGAAGTTATCTAAACAGAAGGAGGGAGGACAGTGATATATTGAAATGACAGTTATATTACAAGCATATTTTCATTTTTCATGAAAAATATTTGAAAATAAATATATTTTTCTAAACAGTTGAACTTGCTGCAAATAAAATTTGAATATTACAAATATAATTATATTTATAATCCTATTATCCTATGTTGGAAACGGGACGTATAAACCACGTGGTGATCAAAGGGAAATGTATTGATAGCTATTTGGACCAATTTCAACTTTAGGAAAAAATTTAGATTAAGACTAAAACGTTGTTCGTTGCTATTTAGTCGCATAGGCTAATGTGCGGAGTACATGAATTCCTTTGTAATATTCCGAATCATCCTTTGATGTTTAGAGAGCAGATGTTTCCTGTCTGAAGTTTAAGTAAAATGTTATTGTTTTCGGAGTAAATCTGTTGTAGGATTATCGGCCATCTCTGATAAATATATTTCCTTTGTGTTGGCATACCCCTCAAAGTTTCCTGGATTATTATATAAATAAACTAGCTCGTAAATTGTAGTCTTTAAGTGTCAAAACTTCTATTTTAATCAACAGGCACACTAAAGTCAACAAAATGTCTAACATAAGGTGGTAATTATAACATAATAAGCTTAATCAATTTTGTTTTGGATTACGGTGTAAGGGGTCTCGAGTGGCCAAGGGGTCTAAAGCGCTGACCGTTACGGATCACTGCTATCTCACCTCCGTCTGGGTGAGTTCTAGTCCAGGCTAGGCTAACGCGAGTACGGGAGAAAGCCTGCCAGTGGCTTATCGTGGGTCGTTTGTTCTTCCCGGGGTTTTCCAGGGTTCTTCATCCACCATTAATACTGGCAGCCATTTACAACCTATCTTTTGCTGAAAAATACCGTGAAACACTAAACAACTTGTAAAACAATTAACACACACACACACACACACACACACACACACACACACACATACACATTCTTCTATTATTTGGTACTGACAATTTTGCTTTTCTTTGGGGATGGGGTGATTTTGTTTTGATATTTTATTGTTTTATCTCACGATAATTTATTTGCTTTCTTTGATTTACTTTCTTCGAAGAATGGATATAATATGGTGTTAGAATGCTATAAATCAGATTAGGATAATGTTGTTACCGACGGAAATTTCTACAAAAAAGTGTCACGCCCCTGTTTATGAACATAACATTGTTGATCACTAATACAATTGCGATAGGCCACAGTACAAATCACGAAATGTCTAAAAATACCACAGTACTTTTGTTAATTTTGCAGGATATCAACAATACGTTCCATTATTCCATTAAGCGCTTGTTAGTTATCGTCATGGATGCTCTTCAAATCGACACTTTTTATGTAACGTATCTACCTAAAGAGATTCCATGATAATGATCCGAAAGGATGAAAATGTTACTGATATCGTGATCCCCGTGTACCATATTTTTTGTCGGATACCTCAGCCCTTGTGTAACTTGTTTTATTGAGATGTCTATCTGGCGAACTAGATGTTGGGAAAATATCTAAGCTATGCTTATGTCTCGCTAGCTAAGTATACGTTTACCCATTACAAACACACACGAGAGAGAGAGAGAGAGAGAGAGAGAGAGAGAGAGAGAGAGAGAGAGAGAGAGAGAGAGAGAGAGAGAGAGATGTTATTTCCACAACGCCTAAAATATAACCGAAACGCAAAGTAGAATCTGATGGACGAACCGAGAGACCAATAAAACGCGATCATATGCTTAGTGGGACACAAAGTTGAGTTCAAATCATATAGATAAATTCAACTGACAAGAAAATTATTTCGTTTGCTATCAAAAGTGGTTAAAGATAGGTTGCTGTTACTGCTTCTCAGTATATTTCATTTTATATTTTATTTGCCGGAATAGTAAAATATTATTTACGGTTCTTCTGTTTAATATGAAGACATATTATCTTCTTCTTTTTCTTTTTCTTCTTCTCATCATCATCATCATCATCATCATCATCATCATCATCATCATCATCATCATCATCATCATCATCATCATCACAATACTGAGCCTAATATCCGATCGACAACTAAAACCGATCTTCAGATTCGGCGGTCGAAAACCAACCATTACAAAAGCTCATTCACTGTATCAGCACCTACTGTATGAAATTCCTCACCCATGATGATACGTAATTCTAATTCTCTTGCTTCTTTTAAAAGATCTTTAAATAAATTCTTTCTTGATCAGCTTGAATGACCTTAGTAAAGTCTCTGAATAGAAAATTTGATCATTATTTCCATAAATAATATGTCCAGGTCTTTTTCGATATATACGACTTACGTTATGCTGAAATGTATATACATGTGTATATAATTTTGTTCATATGTTTCCAAGTGTAGTCATATATATTCATTCATATAAAAAATGTATGAATGAGTGTGCAACGATACCTGAGTATGCACATGATTTTGTAATTTTTATCTTAACAAATTACACAAGATGAGAACCATATAATAGATGGGTCTATTCTTCTTCTTCTTTTCATTATTATTATTATTATTATTATTATTATTATTATTATTATTATTATTATTATTATTATTATTATTATTATTATTTACCCTTTTACATTCTATCAAGATTGATCTTCATTTCATATTTCCTCAGATATTATCCAGGTTTTCCTTTCTCAGACGATATCCAGGTTCGGCGTCGCATACATCCAGGATAAACTTTATCGACTTATTTACTTGCTATTATCTTGATCGTTTTAAGTAACGTTCGCCGCCGGCAATAGAAGATTATGATTTCCGCTAGGTTAACGGCGCTCATTATAAGGGATATTTTTCTTTCTCCACAAATCTAAGGTACCTGTTTCTTATGTAATGAAACCCGTGAGAAATTCGGACACATACCTACATTTATTGGGGTTCATTCAAGCATCGTATTATTAGTCAATTCTAGCATTGACTTTTTTTTCACCGTAAAGGAATCCTTAATCAAGGCGTGCAGTAACATTAGTGGTTTGGTAAGGCCAAATGATTTTGGATGGGCAAAGACCGCTTTAAGATCTCTGGATTAGTGACTTTGGCTCAAACGAGGCCGCCTTATGATGCTCTACGTAATGCGTCCGTTTGATTTTCTCGTGGTATGAGATTAAAGCGTCTTGCTTATATCTTGTCTGCAAATTTATATTTTATTCAGATTAAACTATAATTAATTATAATACTTAATATGTATTATGTTGCTATTTTTTAAACTTGTGCTATCGTCTTGTATTCTTACAAAAATTTGTTATCTCTTCTAAACTTTTTTTTACCCAAATCGGAACACTTCTGCATAGCAGCAGTCTCACAATTCAAATTAGTATCAAATATTACTTCATTTGTTTTGGGTCAGAAGGATGATTTTCGTTTAAAATGCTGTCCACTGCATGCTTTAAACAATTGCTTAAAGGTTTCTCTATTTTTGCTCTTTTTCTTCTTCTTTTTGTATATCCAAATTTGACGGGACATCAGCATCATTTGCCAGGACATATTTTTTTTAAAGTTGGTCAAATTCGGTTCTGCAATTGTTGTTGTTTTGTTTTTAATTAAATTGTGTTAGAGTATATTTGCTGTAACTAACGCCACCTATATATGATTGGAGAAACCGTACAGGTTATATAAATCTGAACAGTGTTCATGTTAGAACACTTTCTGTTGTTTGTTATATTAAAGTTCAATTTTAAATAAGTAGCCGAAAGGTTTACTGTATCCATTTTTAATTTTAAAGCCCATGGTGCCAGTTAGATTTATGAAAAAGCTGGTGAAATTTTCTTCAGTAGTGATTGAGAGGAGATCGTTTTAAAGATTTGCTATTTTTAGCAATGGCGCCCACATTTAAAGGGAAATTGTCATCATTGGCATACATTTGTAAGCACTAATTACAAAATATGCTTTCTTTCAAATCAAACTCTGTTGATCAGTTTCTAAGAAGATGTCGATTAAAAAAATTAATTCTATTTTTAGTAACGGCAGCCATCTGTGATGACGACCATGTTTGATGACAGATAAATATAATTTGAGCAAATTTAAAGGCTCTTCGTACCATAACGCTGTCCGTCAAATTTGGTCAAATTCTGTTAAGCTGTGTTTGACAAGACGCTTTTTCATTTTCTTTTCCATATTAAATAACGGAGATAATAATTGATAGCGATGACAGCCATTTAGACAAGTTTGAAAGAGCTTTATCTCAGGATGCTTCGATCACGTCTAGTAATATTTCCGTAGCGTTTGTTGAGAAGAAATTGTTTTAAAAAAGCAGCCGTGAACGGTGAACATACGACGGATGAAGCAAGATGTCTAAAGTTCACTTGACTTTATGATCAGGTTTTCTAAAACTGAAAAATTTGGATAGTTTATGATGGCCGGTTGATTTGGTCAATAGTTCCGTTATGTACAAACGACACGTATTGGTATGACAATCAACCACAAAATACCAAGCCTTAATTTATAGATGAATTACTTAGAAAAATGACCTCTATGGTGGCTAAAGTACTCAAAGCGTCCGCTTCTGATGCGAGAGGTCGCGGGTTCGAACCACGGTCGAGTCATACCAAAGACATAAAAAAAATATACTTGCAGTTTTCTCGCTAGGCGCTCAGCATCAGTAGGTTAGTGTTAGGACTGGTGGACCTGGTGTCAGGATAATGTGACAGTGCAGGACATGATGCCACAGTGTAAGACGTCACTATAAACTGCCACCCTACAGATATCATAGCGAGATGACTGATATCGTTAAATCTTCGCTAAAAATCAACACACACACACACATTTAGACCAATACTCAAAAAGCATTTTGTGTATATAAACTACGTTTCTTCTCTCTGCTACAAGATAATTTATCAGATCCTGATAAACAGTGTTTAAAGTGTCTATATATTATCAACCCAAACTTTCAGAAATTTGTTGCTTTGAATGGGGTTATTTGATAATATAAAGTAATTTATTAAAATTAATTCATTAAAATACACATAAGGGTTTATATAGAGTTAAAATATATAAGTAGAGTTTAGAAAAGTGACTTAATAAATATCATCTTTTATGAGCAGGTATTTTTTTTAATGTAGATTTCCGCTGTGACAAGTTTCACTGTTCTGACTGTTATGAAAATGTGAGATGATTATGATTTTTAGCGTAGCTTTAACAATTTTTCAGTCATATCGCTACGATGTATGCAGTGTGGCAGTTTATAGTGATGTCTAGCACTGGGGCATCATGCCGCAGACATGATGTCCCACCCAGTCAATTTATCCTGACACTAGGCCGACCAGTCCTAATACTAACCTCTTAAAGCTGAGCGTCAAGTGAGGCAGTTGTTAGTACCATTTTTGTAAGTTTTTGGTATGACTAGACCAGGTATCGAACCTACGACCTTCGGCATCATAGGCGGACGCTCTAACCACTAGGCCAGCGGATCGGTTGACTGCTATGTAGGAGAGACTTGTAAATCTTCTCTCACGAAAGCTCTGCATAGAGTCGGACTGCAGTGCGGTCTGGTGCTCGTTCGTCTACTGGCACTAGATGAAAGCATTTTGGTTGCCCTAAAGCATCAATCTGTTGAGTGAAAACACGGACTAAGGTAGTACTACATTGTCGACTTGCCAGCTCTACATGGGCACATATACTGAACCAGGTTGTCTTCGACCAATTCTATAGCTGGTGGCTGTGGCGATAAAGCATCTCGTGCTAGCAGTTCTTATATCCTTCAGTCAATGTTGACATTTTCCATTTCAACAATTCGTGAGATCGAAAATGAATGACCAATTCCTGTGCGTACAGATGATGTCCGAGAATCGTTCTGTGGGCAGTCGAATCGTTACACGTTGGCTTGTTCGTGAGACACGTTGACACGTCCACGACGAACCCGAAGATAGTGTTTCGAAAACAGCACAGCATTAGCTTTGAATCCACGTGCAGATTCCGATCCGTGGCCATGGAAGAGGTCCAAGTGTGTTTGTACTTTTAAACTAGCTAGCGACACTTGTTGAAACATTGTACCTGTTGGCAACATTCACAACGTTTAGCGCGTATTTGTACCAGTGACAATGCAAACTGATCGTGTGGAAGAAAACAAAAGAGCGGTATGGTGACCCCCTGTATTGGTCGAAGCGTCTGAGATTTTCACTATTATATTTTTATCAAACTTTGTACTCCACCCACTCCACCCCACCAAAATTACATAGAATTGCAGGTGCTAAACATATCTATATTTTTGTGAGGCGTTTATGAAAATCGGCTAGAAATTGTACCTAACGTAAACGGTAACAATTACTCTGACGGTATGAAAGTTGGCCATGTCAACAATGGTATCATGGCGTTGTTCAACAGCGCACGCTAGCTCATCGACGGAAAATAATTCGGAGCAAGTTTGGAAAAAGTTTTCATTGCAACGACTAGTATTACACTCGCCAGATAAAAAGCCCTAGGTAACATTTAAGCTGTCAAAGTCTTAGGTTATGAAATGCAAGAGACCGGTGATATATCTGCCGAGTTAAGGCTGTCGGAATCGCATCCAGGATTGTTAGTGTATAGAAAAAAAAGAAGAAAAGATCGTGGTCTTGGAGGGCAAAGGGTTCCCGAGCAGAGGAGATATGCTGATGTGATTTCGCCATCATTGTGCAAATATTAGTAACACTCACCATATTTTTTGGAAATAAAAAATAAATTTCAAGAATATCATAAAACTGGCAATCTCAACGCCATCATTGTACAGTTCATTAAAACTGTTTACTTTATCATACCATTAGCTACCATAGAACTTTTGCAAACTAGAACTAACGAAAATTAAAAGTTATACTTATAAAGGTATTAATTACATTTTGTTATTTTCATGACATGAGTCGATTAAATGTGATAATATAGTACATGTAATAACCTCAAATTATGTTTTAATTCTCACGCGTAGAACTTGTGTACTTGCAGGGCACCCCCATTGGACTCTTTATTATATTAGTATCAATGCCCATTCACAAATTTAAAAAAAAAAAAACGTGGCTCGATACGCTTATGGTGCAATAATTGTAACACGTAACAATAAAAACTTTTTAATTTGTTTTATTTTTCTTTTCTAAATGCATCTTATATAACTAGATTCTCCGTTTCTCCGTAAGTAAGTATTCAGATTTTTATAAAGTGTTCAATAGCTGACGATATTTATACATAGTGAGAGACAATAATAGGACCAGATGGATCCTGTGTTTTGAACCTGCTAACTAAATTGCAAGGGTTCATGGTTATTTTAATTTAAATGAAAACCTATTAGGCGAGACATAATCTACCAAGTTGTGGGGAGATAAATAATGTAATCCAATAACTGGGATTCTCTTTCCATTCCCTCGGTGCAAACCCCAACATAGATTCTCTTAGGTCTCACAAGACAGTTTTTCTTTTGGCAAATTTTCATCCCACTAAAACCTATTGCAGAAAAATGATAATAATATTACAATAAAGATACAAAAAACTAATTATTGATTTTTGTTGACATGATATTTGTTAGATTCTTACTGAGGTTTTAAGGCTAATTCCTTATTCAACTGGTGGTTTTTATGCTGAACTGGTACTACCACCAACCCCTCTTTTTACATTCATTTTTGACAGAAAAGAGCTTTTTTGAACATTATTTTCTGAGACAAGGCGGCTAAGAGAATCAGTATGTACCTTACTCAGCTTTAAAGTTCACTAGTACTATAACAAATAAACACACCTTTCATCACCTGCATTTTTAGATATTTACGTCTGTAGCAGACACATGTAAATACGAAAGCCAAGTCAGCTGCTCATTTGCAGTCAAGTTACGCATTTGATTACGCATTTTATCTTCAATGCTAGTCTAGGTGTGACAGGTAGACACCAACAAGCCAACCCATTTGGAACAACAGAATGTGTGCGAATTTATAAATGCTAGGGTTGAGATAATTAGGCTCCCGTCAATTACCTTAAATATGAGAGAGAGAGAGAGAGAGAGAGAGAGAGAGAGAGAGAGAGAGAGAGAGAGAGAGAGAGAGAGAGAGAGAGAGAGAGAGAGAGAGAGAGAGAGAGAGAGAGAGAGAGAGAGAAGCTAGCCAGTGACACATTAGTCTCTGATGTAATAGCAGCAATGGGATACTGAGTGCGCAGGGGGAGTATGCCAACACTGATGGTGACTTTATGCGTCTCGTCGACGAATATATAAATAAAAAAGGCATCTGTAATTCCCCGTATACATTCAAATATGGTCTATCCGAAGGCCAGATGGATATCGACCTTTGTGACAACCATATGTACCGACCGGAGGCTAGCTTGGAATCAACGCATTAGTACGAAAACACGTTCTATCGTTGGAGCTACATAGCTGTCGGATGTCAAATTTCCAAGGGATGATTTATATAATGATGAATTAAAATTTAACGACCAATCCACATTGATAAAATTGTTCGTTTTAATGTTAAACAAACCAAGGAAAGAAAGATCTCGACTAATATTCAACGTACGTATACCACTTATTGTACGAAAGCGAGAACGATTGCAGAGGATACCAAGTACAAGAGTAATTAGTGTAGTTGTTGGTGAAAAAGGAAAAGTGGAAACGACAGTCACCAAAGACCTTATTATTATCCTGGAAACTATTTTCTTTCATTGCATGACAGTTGTACCGATGAAGAAAACTAATTGTTTGGGAAGTCCATGTGTGCCTTGTGACTGTCCACGATGCATCTGGACAATATCAGCCTGTCGTCAATTGTACTTTGTTTTGTCTGTATTAATTTAAAAAAAAAACAAAACAGATGGACCTTCAAAGTTACCGACAAGGAAATATCACTGAAGTAAAGTTACAGCTCCGAGATGAAATCTCGAAGAAAACCGTACTTCTCGCGAAATACAAACGTATGAAAACTATTGCAGAAGAATTTTGTTGACTCACCTCAGAAACAGAAGATGGTTTATGTGTAGAGGGAATCACGACTACAGGGACTGTCAGAGGCACGCCAGTCGACTTTTTACTATTAAGACTATATCGATAGTAAAACGGTGTCGCATGCGATGTTGTAAAAAAATTATGTTATGATTTCTTCCAAGAGTATGTGTTCATTCTGAAATTCTTGCAATGTCAGAAAAGCAGTATCAGCACGTTTAATATACTTCAACTTGTGGTCATTAAAGAAAATAACTGACCACGGTGTTGCTCAAGATCTTGTTCGCGGAAATGGAACGAGTTTTCACGACTTCGTGCGCAGAACCGGGGCTTTAAAGCATTCAAGGCAAAAACGAAACATGGACGTTGATTTAGATGCGGAAGAAATCGAGCAGATGCAAAACTCTCTCTGGCATCGCGCGGGTTGATGTAGACAAAATAATAGGTGCTTGTGCGTGCCCTTTGGTTGGTTTAGTCCGGGTTTGGTTCCAAAAAGAGCGGGTTTAGATTTTTGGAACCATTTCGGTAGCAAGTTTGTTCGCAAAGTCATGTGGCTTTATTGGCTAAAAGCTGGAGCAGAAATACAAATTTATAATACCCACTAACACATTTTTTTATGGATAGATATAAAAAAAATAGGAAAAGGACGTTACAGTGATTGATTTCAAAAACTGCTTCAATCAAACATTGAGTAGTAAACGAAAAGCACCACCAATCACACGATTGTGGCTCGCATATAGATTGAATGAAATTGTGACGATCCCACTCAGTGGGATTAAATTGGAATGTACTAACGTCAAAGGTCAAACGAAAGAGGCTAGTTTGTTTTCTTTGGTGTGTATATTGTTCATTCGTCCTCAAGTTGTTGCATGGAATAAACGATCCAATACAAACTATAATCCTACATCACACAATTTTATGTGGTTGCTAATTCGTTCCAGCTCGATAATATAAGTTTGAACTAAAAGTCAAAACATTTTACCTCGTTATTGCTTTGTAGTTAAAGTGAAATTGTTGTTTTATGGTTGTATGTTACGGTGACTTGCATAACACAGCTGCAAACACCTGCTTTGTGCAGCAAGTAGTGCATTATCATTGTACATTATTAGAACCGCAAATGATTCTTTTAGGCGGGAAGAAAACAAAGACTTGCGTTACCAGGCATCAAGTTTCGGTTTTAAGACAAACAAACGAACAAACGATAACAAAACGATGGAACGGAACTTATTTCTGGATTATCATTTAATTTTTAGCAGTAAGAATGATCTGTATTGCCTTAGTAAAATTGCTAGCAAAGAAGGAAAGGGTCAGCCATAATTGCTTTTTATTTGTATGGACACAATTTCAGTAAATATGTCAGAGCTTGATTATAATCTGAGCAAATATTGTCACTAACAAAATAACCGCTACAATTCACGTTTTTATGTAATCGTGTTTGGTTTTAAAGACAAGTAAGAAAAGCACAATTTCTATTTATCTGTTTCCGTAAAGTTTTGAGCATTGTTGTCAGTCTCATTGTGACGAAC